TTGCTAGTGAGAGCACTGTATTTTCTCTTTCCTTGAAGTCCTAGCAAAAACTTCACCTGAGGCAATAACCTACAATGGGGCAATTATTCTCCATACTCACCACCATCACCTTTCAATCCCCAATGACAGCAATTCAACAAAACTCTCTATGGTGATGGAAATGTTCAATATGGTAGGCACTGCCAATCGATGGCTATAGAGCACTGGAAATAAGGGTCATCTGAATTGACATGTACTGGGAAAGTTAAATGCATTCTAGATTTCAAAGTTTAAGAATGAAAAAATAGAAGGTATATTATTACATTAATTTTATGCCAATTATATGCTAAAATTATAATATCTAAGATTAAGTTAATATTAATTTTATCTCTCTAAATTGTGGCTACTGGAAATTTTAAAGGTAGGTATGTGCTTCATACTCTATTTCTATTGGACAATGCTGATCTAGACCAATAGCCTTAAAATTCTTGATCATATAAATCAAGAGGTTTTGAAAACTGTACTTTCACCTACATTTTAAAATTGATATATTTAAAAAAAATTAAATGAGAATAGCTGCAAAGGATGTGATCTCTGCCATTTTGCAAATACCTTAAAATATAGTTTCTAATTTTACAAATACCTTAAATATAGTTTCCTCAAAATTTTGCATCATTAGCTAACTCAGTGTATAGAAAATGGCCACCATATCTTATACATGGAAACACCTTAAAATCAATCTGATAAATCAGAAATTGTTTTCTGTCCAAAGAAGTCAGACTTTGTGTTTTAATTCAAATTAGCCTACTATTATTATTATTCTATTTATAGTTATTTCTATACTAGGATAATAGAGATAGAGAGAGATTAAAAGGGATTAGGTAGACATAAAAGATATGTGGCTAATAAATAAACGCATAAAGAAATGAATAGATAAATATATGGATACACAAATAGATACACAGACACAGACATGAGTGTTTCTATGAATTTATTGCTTGAATAAAATAAGTAATTGTTCCTTTCAAATATTTCTTAGTGATGTTCTTTTTTGCTTTGTTTTCAAGATTTATTCCTCAAGACCTACGAATCTGGAATTTCCTACTCTAATTCCCCAGAGTTTTATTTACACTCAAGCAATGTAACATGTTAACATTTCAGTTAAAAAGTAACATACGTTTGTCTTTGAAAACTGGGAAAATCAATGGTAAAAGGAAAGTGATAAAAAGAACAGATACTGATGTGTCTTCAGGTCTTACTGTCACATATGGAGCTAATGTTGAATTTGTATCTCAATGCAAGAAAAACAATTAATTCAGTGATCAGGTTAGTTTCTAGTACCAGTTCTAATATTTTAACTTGCTATTACTAAAAAATCTCAATTATATTCATCATTAAAATTCTATAATTGAAGAAAACATGTCCTTACAAAAGCTTGTAGCAGGGACATGGAGCAACATCAAAAATGTACATTACTTTATGATTATAATGCTCAGCAATTACATTTTATTTTTAGTGAACTTAATTTCAATGTTTGTAAACTGATCAGTAATAATGACTATAATTTTATATTCAACATTTTAAAATAAAATTCAGTCACCTATGAATTATTCAACCATATAATCAAATATAGAAGAAATGAAATGAAAATTATTTTGCATTGAATCATAAGTTAAATCCAACAAATAATTGAAGAGAAGCATTTTACTGATGAAATGGTAACATTTGGCAATAATGATAAATGTCATTTAAAATGATCCTATCTATGTCAGAAATTTTACAAGTTCTTATCTAATCAGTACAACAACCTTGTGATATGGTACTATCTCTAATACATGAAAAAGAGAAACTGTAGTTCACAGGTCTCAGAGATCATGCCAAATATTGTATAGCCAGTAAGAGTGACAGTTCAGATTGAAATCAATTCCATCAATTTCATTCAGTTTCAGATCTTAGGATTTTGGTTTGTTTTGTTTTTCATCAAGTATGTACATGGTGAAACGCCCCCAAACCTAGAATTACCTGTTTTGGAGGACAGGCCCCTTGTAGTACAGGCCTCCCTGATAGGTAAGTGTTCTAGAAATCGATCAGCATTCGTGTACCAGTTAGCATTGTTGTGGGAGGCTGTGCCTGGCTTCAGTAAACTTTTTGGTGGGGAGATTCTTTCAAAGTAGTTGCCCAATTCACGATTTTCATGATGGGTGATTTACAAGTGCACCTGCCCACACCTCTCTGAGTTTTCAGTAAGTTTTGACCTAAAACAGTTTGACCCCTATACCCTACCCAACCTATTCACCTAATCTCACTTTAAACAACTTTTTTTGTTTCGCTGGATGAAAAAAGTCCCCAAAAGAAATGTTTTGCCAATGTGGAAAAGACAAAACAAAAAAAAGGCAGAAACAATAAAAGGCATCAAAACTGATGAGTTTAAAACTATTTTGAGCAGTGAAAAAAGTGTCTTGATGGGTGTATTTCATCAAACAGAAATTCCTTTGGAGGTGACTGAAATTTAAACATGTAAGGATAAATATACAACATTTTATAAATAATTTCCAGTCTCTGGGGATCTCCCTTGTATTTCTTTGGGATGCTTAGAACATTATAATTGCTTTTAAAGTTATTAAATGTAAAATGAACATGAGCAATAATTATTGAAAAAAATAGGTATTGCGGGATTAAGAACCTTGGTTAAACTGGAATTTATAACAACCACTAGAGTTATGTGCTTATGGTTTATACTAGCAATTGCCTTCTGAAAAGGGTTCTTATTAATCTGTGGGGGCAAATGCTTTCAACAGTGTTTTTCAATCTATGTGTTATAACTTGTTAGTGCATCATGCAATTGACTTAGTGGGGTATGACCAATACTTCAAAAATAAATAGATTACAATTGATTAGAATACAGACGTGCATTCATGTACTAAAAAAAAAAATGTTTACCCCAACAAACCTCAGATAAATATTAAGGAATACAAACAAACAAACAAAAACGTATGATATGTGTGGAAATTTGTAAGTGTGTGTATGTGTGTATGAGGTGTTTGAACTGGGTCACAATGTAAAACGTAATTCTTACTATGGTTCATGATTAAAAATTATTGTAAACCAATTTATAGGATATCATAAAATAGAGATAAACTAACAGATCAAAATTAAATGTCTACATTTAGCTATTTGATGAAAATAGCAAAGAACTGAAAGTAATTGTCTTTCTAAGGAAATAAATTCCATTTTGGGGGAGAAAAGGAAGAAATAAAAGTTTAGCAGATTAGGTAAGCAAATAGAAATGTGACAACTTCTGTAAAACTTTAGGTAATTTAGTAATAGGAATAATTTAAAGTTAGCAAAGCAGATATCTTAGAGAACATGAAATAATACCACATTTTGATGATAATTATAAATAATTGCCATGGTATAAAATTATTTCTATCTCAATTAAAGATTAATACAATATGTTTGTTGCACATTTATAATGGATTTCTTCCATGCCTGTGTTAGTAAATGATAGTTATACTTCAGAGTGAGATACATCTTTGTATATACACAGATCTTTAAAAGTACACAGCTCTGACCTATGTAATCTCAGACAAGTTATTTAGAGTTTCACTTAAATGCAAACAATAAAAGTATCTGACTCAAAGGAATCTTATGAGGATTAAATAATTATAAAAAGTACTTAATATATCTACTGAGAATAGTGTACAGCATGCTGCTAAGTTTTCAACAAATGTTAGTTTATTTTTCAAACACTTTATTTTCTCAAAAACCAATAATTTGCATAGAGAAATCAATAAATATTTGTTGCAATGATTTGAATTAACAACTTAGGTTTTGTGGATAAAACTTTCTTTTATGTAACTAAGAGGTTTGATTTAGTGATTGTCGCGTTTATGCACATAGTTTGAGGCAGAGTAAGTTTCTGATCTAATTCTTCTGATTTATAAGTCAGGGCTATCCTCTGTAATGGACCACTGAGTTTATTTTTAAACCAGCTCTGCTGCTCTTAGAATTAGGTTTCAAGAACTTGATAGTGATCAAAGAATCATAGACATTCCTGAAGGAAATATATACTTTATCTAATAACAATAAATTAGTATATTTTGCATGCTTATTAGTTCTACTAAGCACTCTGTATGCATTTTCTTACTTATTTCTCACAGCAATACTGTAAAACACATGCCCTTATTACCCACATTTCATAGATAAAACCTTAACTTCAGAGAAGTTAAATACCTGAAAATTATGAGTAAATTATATATAGTATTGAACCACAATATGACCCAGTTATGGGATCCATCACCAAGCTTTCTTTAATGTAACCCAAGTAAGCTAATGCATGATCTTAGGATCTATGAGAAATTATAATTTTTCCTATTTAGGTTCTCTCTATTGCTATAAAGTCATAGCTTACAAGAAGAAGCAGAAGAGCAAAAGCAGGAGAGAAAAACTAGCTGTTTCAACTGCTTTTAACATTTATTGTGTCATAATTTTGTTTCAAGTATAGTGATACATACATATTTAAATATATTACTTATCTTAGGATCAAATGAAAGACAATCCAACCTTTTGAAATATCCATAATATGAATTCTGTATTGGTGCAGAGCACATTAAGCTAACTATTTCTAATTAATAGCTGTGTGATATGTAGCAATGGAGAAACATTGAAATGAAAGTCAGCTATGTATAAGAATAATATACTTGAATGATTTATCAAGCAGAAAAGATATCAAGTAAAAAGCCATTTTTCATTACTCTAAAAAAAAAGTATACTTACAACCTTCAAAAATGTGTCTCAGAAAAAATTTATTTATAATTTTGTTTTCACTTATATGTTAGTAGCTGGTAGGAATTGTATTATTTTTATTTCATTTTCCCCCAAAACTCATATAAATTTGTTTCATAAATGGATAAGTAGGAAATTTTACCAAAATCATACTCAAGTTACACTGCACATTCCTTATGATCTCTTTGCTTTTGTCTTTATGAAAATGACTTTTACCACAGATGATTTTCCCTTACCTTATTTGTATTCACTGCTGTGATGACCCAGACACATTGTGCATTGCTGTCATACTGGAATGGAAAGTTTGGAGATGTAAAGGTACCACTTGGTCCTTGAAGATTAGAGCCACACGTCTTCACTAAAAGAGAAATTGCAGTTTACAAGATGAGTATATGCCACATGTAAAATCAAAGTAATAAAATATCTTGCAAATATACTTTAAATTCAAAATTACACAATTATAACCACTATCATCTATCTATCTACATATACAAATGTATATATATACTGGAATTCTAATGTCATTTATCACAATTAGAGTGTCTTTTGCATCCTGAGATTCACAAACTCAACATTTTCAATATTAAACAAAAACTAGGTTATGAATAGAAGTGTGAGGCATGATAAATTGTCCTCTGACTGTAAATAGGTTAGTTTAATTAGAGAGAGGTATATTTACTTAATAATATGCTAAAAATATGCACAGAGAATGAAGTAAAGCCTTGTATTGGTAAAGCAATCTAAAAGTTGTTGGTGTGTTTTTTTGGTATTTATTTAGTACTCTATGACTCATATTAGCACAATTGAGAAACATCAATGGTAAAACTACTCTTTCTGTTCTTTTAACTGTGAATGAAACCAAGGCTAGAAGAACTACATTTAAGTTATTTTAATGAATTTTCACAAAAATTATAAATTGTAATATACCCTTAGTTTTCTAGCTATTCTTCCTACTACTTAATACAAGAGATACTGACTATACTGCTCCAGTTTCTAATCCTCCTTCTTGACCATGTTATCCTCTTCTTTTTTAAATTTTTATTTTATTTGATTCAAGGAGTACATGCTCAGATTTTTAAAAACATATCTGTCCCTCCTGCCACAATGTTTGGGACTGCTGCTTTATGTATTTATTTTGAGAAAGCAGGATTTATTGAGAGTACAAAAAAGCTCCTACAGTGGGAGGGGACCTGAAGGGTTGCCCACATGTTCAGATTTACTACATAAGCATATAGCATGACGATTACGTTTCAACTTCTATTGAACCTTCCCCACAGAGGGTGAGCATGATTCTTGTTGAATGGTTTATAAATCCTTATTTCCTATCCATCCCTTCTTTTTTTTTTTTTTTGAGTTGGAGTCTCATTCTGTCGCTCCTGGCCACCGCAGCCTTGACCTGCTGGGCTCCGGCGATCCTTCCGCCTCAAACTTCCAAGTGGCCGGAATTACAGGCATGCGCTACCATGCTCGGCTGATTTTTTTATTTATTGTAGAGATGAGGTCTCACTGCCCAGGCGGGTCTCGAACCCGCGGGCTCAGGCAATTCACTCACCTCAGCCTCCCAGAGGCGCGGGATTACAGGCTGAGCCACCGAGCCCGGCCATCCCTCCTCTTGTTAGTAGTCCCCAGTGTCTGTTGTTCCCATCTTTATGCCAGTGTGTGCCCAGTGTTTAGCTTCCACTTGTGAGTGAAAACATGTGGTATTCAGTTTTTTGTTTCTGTAGTAGTTCACTTAGAATGATGGTCTCCAGTTTCATCCACGCTGGTGTAAATTACAAGATTTCATTTTAATGGCTGTATAGTAGTCGTTGGTGTATATGTATCACATTTTCTTTGTCCAATCTATCATTGATAGGCACCTAGGTTGGTTCCATGTTTTTGCTATTGTAAATAGTGCTATGATAACCATACAACGGCAGGTGTCTTTTTGGTAGAATGATTCATGTTCCTTTGGTTATATACCCAGTGGTGGGATTGCTGGGTAGAATCATAGATCTACATTTAGTACTTTGAGAAATTGTCAAACTTCTTTCCACAAGAGATAAAATAGCTTACATTCCCACCAACAGCATACTTGTATTCCCCTTTCCCCCGAACCATGCCAAAATTTGGTTTTCTGATTTTTTAATAATAGTCATTCTTACTGGTGTGAGATGGTATCTGATTATGATTTTGATTTGCATTTTTCTGATGCTTAGTGATGTTGAGCATTTTTTCATATATTTATTGGCAGCTTGTACATCTTCCTTTGAGAAGTTCTGTTCTGTTCATGTCATTTGCTCACTTTTCTTTTCTTTTCTTTTTTTTTGTTAGAATCTCACTCCGTTGCCCAAGCTTGAGTGAAGTGGCATGATCATAGCTCACCACAGCCTTGACCTCCTGAGCTCAGACAGTTCTTTTCCCTCAGTCTTCTGAGTAGTTGGGACTACACCTAATTTTTTTCTTTTTTTTTTTGTAGAGGTGAGGTCTCAGTATGTTGCTTAGGCTGGTCTAAAACTCTTGAACTCAAGTAATCTTCCCACCTTGTCCTTCCAAAGTATTGGGGTTACAGGCATGAGTCATGGCGCCCAGCCCTTTTGCTCACTTTTTAATGGAGTTATTTTTTTTTCTTGTCGATTCATTTGAGTTCCTTATAGATTCTGGATATCAGTCCTTTGTTGGATGCATAGTTTGCAAATATTTTTCTGCCATTCTGTGGGCTGTCCCTTTACTCTGTTGATGGTTTCTTTTGCTGTGCAGAAACTTTTTACTTGATAAGGTTCTACTTGTCAATTTTAGCATTCAGTGCCTTTGCTTTTGGTGCCTCTGCTTTTCATTGTCTAGATTGACATCCAGGAGAGTGTCTTTTTTTAAGATTTTTAGAGTTTGGGTCTGACATTTAAGTCTTTAATCCATTCTAAATTTTTTGTATATAGTGATAGATATTTATCTAGCTTCATTCTTTTGCATATAGTTACCCAGTTTTCCTAGTACCACTTGTTGAATCCCCAGTGTTGGCTTTTATCAGCTTTCTCTACTGGTTTTAGGTCAGTGGTTTTATTTTTGACTTCTCTATTCTGTTCTATAGGTCTATGTACCTATTTTTGTACCAGTGCCATGCTATACTGATTACCATAGCCTTTTAGTAAAGTTTGAAGTTTGGCAGTGTGATGCCTCTGGCTTTGTTCTTTTTTTTTTTTCCACTTTTAAACATTTTTTTATTTTAAAATTGTGGGGTACATTTCAGGGTTAGGTATGCAAATATTCACTGTGCAGGTATCCTTGCTTTGTTCTTTATGCTTAGAATTGCTTTGGCTAGTTGGGCTCTTTTTTTGCGTCTATATGAATTTTAAGTATTTCTTTTCTAGGTCTCTGTAAAAAATGACACTGGTAGTTTGACAGAGATAGCATTGAATCTGTAGATTGCTTTGGGAAGTATGGACACCTTAACAATAATGATTCTTCTAGTCCATGAGCATGGATGTCCTTGCATTTGTTTGCATCATTTTTTATTTTTGTAGTTCTTATTGTAGAAATATTTTAACTCTTTGGTTGTGTGTGTTCCAAGGTATTTCATTTCATTTGATTATTGGGAATGGGATTGTGTTTTTTATTTGGTTCTCAGCCTATTTGTTGTTGGTGTATAAAAATTCAATTGATTTCTGAGAATTGACTTTGTATCCCGAGATTTTACTGATGTCATTTATCAGTACTAGGAGTTTTTTGGTAAAACATTTTGTGTTTTCCAGGTATAGAATCATATCATCTGCATAGAGAAATAGTTTAACTTCCTCTTTTCCTCTTGGATATCTCTTATTTCCTTCTCTTGCTTGATTGTTTTCACTAGGACTCCAATATTATGTTAAATATGAAGGTTGAGAGTGGACATCTTTGTCTTGTTCCAATTCTTTGGGACAATGTCTCCAGCTTCTTTTAAGTATGATGTTGCCTGTGGGTTTGTCATAGATCGCTCTTATTTTGAGGAATTATCTTTTGATGCCTACATGATTGATGGCTTTTATCATAAAGGGAGGTAAGATTTTATTAAATGCTTTTTTCTCAATCTATTGAGATAATCATGGGGTTCTTAACTTTACTTCTGTATATGTGATGGATTATATTTATTAATTTTTGCATGTGTCAGCCTTCTATCCTGGGAAAAAAGCCCACCCAGTATAATGAATGATTCTTGAAATGTGCAGTTGGAAGCAGTTTGCCAGTATTTTGTTGAGGATTTTTGGATCTATATTAACTGGAGATACCAGACTATAGTTTTTGTTCTTTGTGGTGTCTTTATCATTTTTTTGGTATCAGACTGATATTGAATTTGTAGAATGAGTTAGGGAGGAGTTTTTCCTTCTTAATTGCTTGGAATATTTTCTGTAGAGTTGGTACCAGGTCTTCCTTGTACACTTGAGTTTTTTGTTTGTTTCTTTTAGTAGGTAGGTTTCTTATTACTGAATCAATTTCTTAGATTGTTACTGGTCTGTTCAGGGTTTCATTTTCTTCCAGTTTCAATCTTGGGAAGGAGTATGATCCAGAAATTTATCCATTTCCTCTAGATTTTCTAGCCTACGTGCATGCAGATGTTTATAATAATGTCTGATAAGAGTTTTCATTTCTTCATGCAAATCAAAACCACATCGAGATATCACCTAACTCCTGTAAGAATGACCATCATTAATAAAACAAACAACAACAGATGCTGGCAAGGATGTGGAGAAAAAGCAATGTTTCTACACTGCTGGTGGGAATGCAGACTAGTACAACTTCTTTGGAAGACAGTGTGGTGATTTCTGAAAGAATTAGAAGTTGACCTTCCATATGACCCAGCAATTCCCTTATTGGGAATATACCCAGCAGAACTCAAATTATTTTACAAAAAATATACCTGCACACGTATGTTTGTTGCAGCTCTGTTCACAATAGCAAAAACACAGAACAAACCGTGTTGCGCATTGAAGCTGGACTGGATAAAAAAATGTGGTACATATACACAATAGAATATTATGCAGCCATCAAGAAGGACAAATATATGAACTTTGCAGCAACTTGGATGGATTTGGGGTAGATCATACTCAGTGATTTATCACAGAAACAAAGAACTGCGTTCCATATGTTCTCACTCATAAGCTGACTTTGAACAATTATAATGCTATAAGAAAGTGATTGACAGTAGTGGGATTGGCAGTTGAGGGAAACTGCTAGGGAGGGAGGGACATACCTCATCAACAAGGGTACCTGCATAATCAATGTTTATATACCTAACCCTGAATTGTACCCCACACCTTTATAATAAATCATAAAAAATTTTTTTAAAAAAGAATTTGCATTTCTTCAAGATTGGGTGCACCATCCCTTTTTACATTTCTGATTGTA